CCCAACCCCAAACCCAAACCCAAACCCAACCCCGACCATATTACTAGTAATAGGGTGTGTTAGGGGATGTGTAAAAACCAAACCCAACCCCAAACCCAAACCCTTTATTTACCAGACATCATTTCTATTATGGTCATCGTATTTGGTTTATTATCTTTTTTTAACATCCCATAAACGAATAGATTTATCCCAACTTCCAGATACTAATATTGTACCATTTAGGGAGTAGCATAACGAGCGAACACAATCACTATGACCATCCAATTTTGATTGTTATTTTCTTGTCTAAATATCCCAAAGAAGGATAGACTTATCTGTACTACAAGATGCTAATACGTTTCCATCCGGAGAGAAGCATACTGATCGAACAGAACCAGAATGTCCTTCCAATTTGGCTTTCTATTTTCTTGTCTTAACATCCCAAAGAAGAATAGAGTTATCTGCACTTCCAGATGCTAATATGGTTCCATCAGGAGAGAAACAAACTGATCGAACACAATCCTTATGGCCTTCTAATTTGACTTTTTATTTTTCTGTCTTAACATCCCAAAGAAGAATAGAGTTATCTGCACTTCCAGATGCTAATATGGTTCCATCAGGAGAGAAACAAACTGATCGAACACAATTCCCATGGCCTTCTAATTTAACTTTTTATTTTTCTGTCTTAACATCCCAAAAAAGAATAGACTTATCATCACTTCCAGATGCTAATGTTTTACCATCAGGAGAGAAGCATACTGATTTGACATGTTTAGAATGCCCATCAAATTGGACTTTTTATTTTCCTGTTTAAACATCCCATAAACGAATAGAATTATCGGCGCTGCCAGATGCTAAGGTTGCTCCATCAGGTGAAAAGCATACAGAATAGACAGTTCTATTATGACCATCCAATTAGGCTATTAATTATCCTGTCTTTGCATCCCATAAATTGATAGAACAATCTCCATCTCCAGTATATGGATTTCCGCTACCAGATGCTAATGTAGTACCATCATGAGAAATGCATACAGAATTGACTGAGCTCCCATGGCCGCTCATTTAATTGTATTCGTGCATTTTAATATTCCTCCATTTACAATTTAATAGTAGAGTTCCATTCAAATTCACTCCGCTAATATCTACATTATCAAATTCCGATCCACTCAAATTACATCTGGCAAAATTGCCTCCTATCAAAGAAGTATTCCTAATTTTTATATTTTCAAAGCATTTATTAGTCAGATCAACCCTCATCTAAACTAGAATGTTTAATGAATTAGAACCACATTAAATGAATTTTTAATCATAAGCAGTTAAATGAACTAAGAATATTAAAAATTAAATGATTTTTCTATCTTGAGAAATTTGCTAGATGAGCAATTACCTAGTTTTTGCATAATTTTCAGTTGAATAGTCTTTTTTATTAAAATCATGGTTTTAGATGTTTTCAAGTATTTTCACTATAAAAGGAGAGTTATTTTTTCCCTATTATTATGAGTTCTTTCTTAATAAATCTAAAATTTTCTCCTATTTACGTGTCTCAACAATTTCATTGAAATTTTACTCATTAATTACTTTCACATAATCTAATATGTCTGACAAATTGTCCTTCGTTTCATACCTTGGTTGAATGCTAGAGTAAGACCTAAAATTCTTACTACAATGACTTCACATAATTTATTTATTCTTAGACTTTTTCGATAAAAGCTTCAATTTCTTAATCGCACTAATTCTGAATTTTTTCCAGCTCCTAAACAATAATATTGCTCTATTCCTTCCAATCATTTAATCCCTCCCCTCTTATTAAGGAGAATATTTTTTCAATATCAGAATAAGAGGATTCTGCTAAATTAGTATTTTCGTTGACAAGATTACGATATTTCTAATATTCCATTTGAATCTATTTTAATGTATTTTTGATTATATCAACGAAGTCTCTTAATGTACTTTCCAGTTTTTTCATTTAATTAGAATGCTTGATTTTTAAAAGCATATTTGATTGTTCAAATGTTTTGCAGCAAGTGGCTTCTTGTAATTTGTTAATAGCATCTTTTTGAAATTGTGTTATTGGTATGGTGTCAGAGCCGTTGGTTTTATGCTCAGGAATGCAGGATTCACACAGTTTCCTTTAATACGCGCATTTATGAGGTGCTAAGCAAATAAATTGGACTTTTTTTGTTATATGATGAGTGCAATCCATAATGTTTGAATTTTATTTTAAGAATTCTATTAAAAAATTTTTGTTTATTTTTTGAAATTTCTATTAATTAAACAAAATGTGATTGTGATTGTTTATCTTATAGATTAATAATTGTGCTTTATAGATGATGGGTTTTGGTTTATCAATGAGAAGGTTTATCTCATAATTTTAGATTCTACACCAAGGATACTATACTTATTCCCCACCATACTAATTCCTAAGCTAGGGGGGTTTTCTGATGAATATAAGAAAAAAAAAAAAACAATTTTTAGCATTTTTTAAGAAAAAGAAAAAAAAATGAAGCATCGTTTCCAATAAAAATGCAAAAAATTTTAATTATTAAGAGAAATTTAGCATCCTAAATATATTTAGTAGAATTTAAATTAATATGAGAGGTTATAATTAATCATGTTCAATGTGCAATAAAACTATGATTTTATTAACTGATGGGTAAACTTTTTTGGTATTAACTGCAGAACAATAAACAAAAAGTTTCTGTTTGATTATGATTGAAAAAAATTTAGAGATTAAATTTATTTTTTAGCTTGTTCCTAACCTAATATTCTTTTCAATTACAAAATATTGTTGATCGATTTAGTCAATCTTTTGCCGATGTATAGACAGAAATTATTTGTTAAAATAAGACTTAGGCATATAACTGATTATTTATTTATATTTTATATTTAAAAAGTATTTCAACTTTGCTTTTATGCTTTTGAATAAAAATGAGTGTAAAAATGATAATCAAATGTATTCACATTTTTTTTATACTTTAAATTACTTGATGAAAATAAATTTCTAAAGAAATAAAAATGTGGATATTAATTAATTAGCAAAGATAGAGTATAGTACCATATAATATAATATAATATAATATAATATAATATAATATAATATAATATAATTGATATTCCTATTATTTTAAGGGAAAAGTTTTACAAATTCAGATAGAAAATTAAATTATATTACTTAACGATTGGATTTTAATTGGAACAAAATCTCAAATTACGAATTTTATCGATATATTTGGATATGGTGTTGTTACTTAAATTTTTTCTCTTCATAACACATTATAATTTAAATCTGAAAATGCAGCCTAAATTTAAAAATGAATGAAATTTCATTAGAATTGGTTCATTTGATATAGAGTTTGTCTAGATACAATTCATTCAAGAATATAATCCCATTTTACGATATATTTTTGAATATATATAATTTCTTTTTCTATTAAAATATTAATTATTAATATTTAAATATATTAAATGAATACTGAGGAATCTAAAAAAAAATGTATTTTACATGAAGAAGAGATTGTTGCCATTGATTAATTTGAGTAAGATGAGAAAAAAAAAGGACTTTGTTCAAAATGTGTTAGAATTCAATCAAAGTATAGATTAGTTCTAGTTAAAGATTCTTAATTGCAAATTGAAGAGTATAAAAAAACTCTTAAAGCAGAAAGAGAGAAATAAACATTTCAAAGAATTAGCAATTTAAATAATATAATTGATTAACTTGGATAAGAAAAAAATAAATATTTACAATCAATTGAAATGATCATTTTTAATATAAAGAAGTAGATTGAATAACTTTAAAATGAAGAAAAAATTTTCATTTTAGGAATTGAAAGCATAAAATCTTTTGATTTTAGAGAATTTTCTGAATAAGAACAATAAATAAATAAATCCTTTTGTTTCGAAACTTTTAAGAATAATTTATAGAGTAAATTAATGTCATTCACAAATTAAGAATGTTTTTAGAGATGCATTGATATTTTAGAAAATTTTGATACATCTAAAACCACCATATTTGAAGATGAATATAGAAATTAAAATCAAGTCTTAAATGTAAAATCTTATTGATAATTATTTTTAGGGCATTAATCTTCTTTGTGATGAACATTAAGAAAATATTATTTTTGTTGATTAAAATTAGAATAGAGAAAATTAGAATAGATTTGCTTGTGTTCTGTGTGTGGATAAATATCCTAGTAAATATAAATCGATTAAAACTATATTTGAAGAATGGAAGTAGATATAAGAAATAAAAAAAGAAAAAATGAATAAAAGTTCTTTGTTATTAAAAAAGAAGGTCAAATATATTCAAGATTATTTTCATGATTTGGGAAAAAAATTGGAAAATATGATAAAAGACTTAAATAATGGATTTGATATAAATGTTGTTGATTTTATCAATAAATTATAGGATTAATAAAAAATAATTAGTATAAGTTTAAGTTGGTAAAAATAAACTAAAGAATAATTACTAACAATAATAAATTAAATTATCTAATAGAAAGATTAATAAATTTTTTAAGATCCATTATAAAATGATTTTATATTAATAGATAGATAAATAAATTAAATAGTAAAAGATACTGTTTTATAGATAAGGTAAACTTAATTTGATTCTTTTAATAAAATAATGATTTTTAACTAAAACTTGAAAGCAGAATATTAAAATATATAATCTCCACAGGAAGAGTTATAGATAATAAGTTAATCAGAAACATCTTTTAATATGGCTTCTTTAGAAGTAGAAACTAGAAAGAAATAAAACCAACAGCAAGAAAATTAATAAAAAATGAAACAATTTACTTTAAATTCAAAAATAATAACTCATTACGAATTGATCAATTAATCTTAATTTTTAAAAATGAAGTAACTTGCAAATTATAGATTTATTTAATAATGTTCAATTACTTAATAGGATTATTGTTATGCTATAGCAATCAACTAAGATTAATCAATAGTTATTGCTGGATGTTTATCAAAGATTTAAATATATCAATTTTAGAATACATAATTATCTATTACTCAAGTTATTACCTAACATACTGATGATGTAAATTGTTTAATTTTTATGAAACAAACAAATTTATTTTTATCTGGGAGTGATGATAAATCAATAAGAATTTGGGAAATGAAATAAAATAATCAATGGAGTTGTTAATAAAAGTTAGATGGACATCTAGGTAGTATATTTTGTTTAATATATAATAAAACAGAAGATCTAATAATATCTGGAAGTTTAGATAAAACTATTAAATTTTGGGGAAAAATAAAAAATTAGAATAATAGAAGTTTTTAATTTTGGGGAAAATAAAAAGAATGGTTGTGTACTTAAACAATAACAACTCATAGAAGTTATGTATTTAGTTTATGTTTAAATGAATCTTCAACTAAATTAATTTCTTGTGGTAGAGATCATTTAATACTTGTAATCCAGAAAGAAAATGAAAATTGGGTTGTTCATTAAACAATAACAGTTGAATAATATGGATTGAGAGTTTGTTTCATCAATGATCACACATTTACTTTCTAACCAAGAAATCATAATAAAGTGCATATTTATCAAATGTAAGATATGAATTACATTAAAACTAAAGAAATATTTATTAATAATGGAAATAATTGTGATTGTTTATTCCCTTAATAATTCATTAAATAGAAATCAATACTTGTAATTAAGAACGGATCAAATTTGAATTTTATAAAAGTCAATCCTAATTCTGAGTTTATTTTAGAACATTCTATTGAGTTTAATACTCATTTTACTTATGGAACCTTAAGTGATGATGGAAAATATCTTTTATCTTGGGATAGCTACACTTAAGAATTAAAAATAAGGAGGAAAGAGTGAATAGCACAATATATATTTTATTATTTAAACATTCAATTAAATTTAAAATAAGAATATATACATGATAAAAAGCTATAAATTATTTACCTAATTCTCTTTGTATTATTGTATTCTAAATATTTGAAAGTACCTTACTATTTTAAGAAAGAAAGTAAGTATTAGTAGAAATAGCTAAAAAAAGTAAAAACAATAAATCTTTTTAAATTTATTATTTTTTGTTAATATTTTTTTTATGATGAGATGTAGATTGGCGATCTCAAAGAACCTCCAAAGGTCTCAATTTTGTTGAATATCAAACTCATACGATAAGAGACAGAACTAAAGACACCCTCTTTAGAATTCACACTAAATAAGTAATTTTTATATTGCCTATTTCTATTATTAATATTTTTTATAAATTATATGATTCTTAAAGACTTTCTCAATGCATTTTACTTTTAATAGACTTTTAATTCAGCTCATAAATTTTATTCTTTACTTATAAAATTTAAAATTACTTACCATACAATACATTTATTATTTGCAAGATAATTTCCTCTTTCTGTGCAATAATTAAGAGATTTACCATTAAGCCACAATAGTTTCTTTTATGCTTATTAGGGTTGTGTTATTTAATCGTATTATATTTCTTACTCCAATTCTAAATAAAAAAAAAAATATTTGTTTACTAATTATAAAGTAGACATAGATTCTTAACTCATAGCCAAACTAATGATTTTTAAATCTTCACTACCTTTATTTGAAAATGTATCTATTTCTGTTTTTTTAATTATTTTTTTTATTATAACCAATTCATTTGATATCTCAAAAATATAAGTTTTACTTTTAAATTATGTTTCCTTTTTAAATCAGGATAAATATTTATATTAAGAATTAAAATAAAATTCCTTAATTACTTATTCAAAATTGTAATCTAATAAGATCAAAGGTTAAATATTTTTAACTTTTTGTTTTTATTTAAATATTATGAAATCTATAACAAAAATAAAACAATAATTAAAAAAGTAAATCAAATTATTTTATAATTAAATCAATTTTATTTTTCAACTTGATTAAAGAAAAAGTTCTTTGAAAAATATATATGATTTCAAAAAATATAGGAAAATTTGGTAAATATTGAGAGAACTTTGAAAACAAATAAATTATAACTAAAATTGGAATATTATATCAATTCTTATTATATTTTTATATATTCACATTTAAAATCATTTTTTATTTTTTATAATAAAATAAAACAGTTTTAATAATGAACTCAAAAGCTTTAAGAAATTTATAAGGTTATTTAGAAACTGAGCGAAAATGCAGAGAAAGATTTCCCATGATTGATGTNTATTAGTAGAAATAGCTAAAAAAAGTAAAAACAATAAATCTTTTTAAATTTATTATTTTTTGTTAATATTTTTTTTATGATGAGATGTAGATTGGCGATCTCAAAGAACCTCCAAAGGTCTCAATTTTGTTGAATATCAAACTCATACGATAAGAGACAGAACTAAAGACACCCTCTTTAGAATTCACACTAAATAAGTAATTTTTATATTGCCTATTTCTATTATTAATATTTTTTATAAATTATATGATTCTTAAAGACTTTCTCAATGCATTTTACTTTTAATAGACTTTTAATTCAGCTCATAAATTTTATTCTTTACTTATAAAATTTAAAATTACTTACCATACAATACATTTATTATTTGCAAGATAATTTCCTCTTTCTGTGCAATAATTAAGAGATTTACCATTAAGCCACAATAGTTTCTTTTATGCTTATTAGGGTTGTGTTATTTAATCGTATTATATTTCTTACTCCAATTCTAAATAAAAAAAAAAATATTTGTTTACTAATTATAAAGTAGACATAGATTCTTAACTCATAGCCAAACTAATGATTTTTAAATCTTCACTACCTTTATTTGAAAATGTATCTATTTCTGTTTTTTTAATTATTTTTTTTATTATAACCAATTCATTTGATATCTCAAAAATATAAGTTTTACTTTTAAATTATGTTTCCTTTTTAAATCAGGATAAATATTTATATTAAGAATTAAAATAAAATTCCTTAATTACTTATTCAAAATTGTAATCTAATAAGATCAAAGGTTAAATATTTTTAACTTTTTGTTTTTATTTAAATATTATGAAATCTATAACAAAAATAAAACAATAATTAAAAAAGTAAATCAAATTATTTTATAATTAAATCAATTTTATTTTTCAACTTGATTAAAGAAAAAGTTCTTTGAAAAATATATATGATTTCAAAAAATATAGGAAAATTTGGTAAATATTGAGAGAACTTTGAAAACAAATAAATTATAACTAAAATTGGAATATTATATCAATTCTTATTATATTTTTATATATTCACATTTAAAATCATTTTTTATTTTTTATAATAAAATAAAACAGTTTTAATAATGAACTCAAAAGCTTTAAGAAATTTATAAGGTTATTTAGAAACTGAGCGAAAATGCAGAGAAAGATTTCCCATGATTGATGTATAAATATTGTACCATTAAGGAATGTCAATCTTTTTGGAATCATTATATTGACGTTAAAGAATGCTAACATTAGTTGAAAATGTTTGAAGAATGTTTTAGTAAGTATAAACCAGCTGCATACCAACATAAAGGAAGAGAACCAGATAAAGATTGAGTGATCTGATTTATTATTCAAAAAGAAAAATAAATAATATTTAAATGGAAATCAAATATATTATCAAATACTTATCAAAACTAACTATGTAAAGGATGTACATAATTAAATGTGAATGAAATTCTGGCTTGGCATATCATAAATTTTTTAAGAATGCGCAAAATCTCAAAAGACTTACGAATTTTTAGATACCATCCTTAAATTCTTATAAATCAATTAGAGCAATTGGCTATTATTNTTTGATATCTCAAAAATATAAGTTTTACTTTTAAATTATGTTTCCTTTTTAAATCAGGATAAATATTTATATTAAGAATTAAAATAAAATTCCTTAATTACTTATTCAAAATTGTAATCTAATAAGATCAAAGGTTAAATATTTTTAACTTTTTGTTTTTATTTAAATATTATGAAATCTATAACAAAAATAAAACAATAATTAAAAAAGTAAATCAAATTATTTTATAATTAAATCAATTTTATTTTTCAACTTGATTAAAGAAAAAGTTCTTTGAAAAATATATATGATTTCAAAAAATATAGGAAAATTTGGTAAATATTGAGAGAACTTTGAAAACAAATAAATTATAACTAAAATTGGAATATTATATCAATTCTTATTATATTTTTATATATTCACATTTAAAATCATTTTTTATTTTTTATAATAAAATAAAACAGTTTTAATAATGAACTCAAAAGCTTTAAGAAATTTATAAGGTTATTTAGAAACTGAGCGAAAATGCAGAGAAAGATTTCCCATGATTGATGTATAAATATTGTACCATTAAGGAATGTCAATCTTTTTGGAATCATTATATTGACGTTAAAGAATGCTAACATTAGTTGAAAATGTTTGAAGAATGTTTTAGTAAGTATAAACCAGCTGCATACCAACATAAAGGAAGAGAACCAGATAAAGATTGAGTGATCTGATTTATTATTCAAAAAGAAAAATAAATAATATTTAAATGGAAATCAAATATATTATCAAATACTTATCAAAACTAACTATGTAAAGGATGTACATAATTAAATGTGAATGAAATTCTGGCTTGGCATATCATAAATTTTTTAAGAATGCGCAAAATCTCAAAAGACTTACGAATTTTTAGATACCATCCTTAAATTCTTATAAATCAATTAGAGCAATTGGCTATTATTACCTTTATTAAAACTTACAAAAACTAATAAAGTTTTTCTTTTTATTCCAGAAACTTTTAATAAAACAATTTTATTTTTTTGATAGGTAAACTCTTAATTTTTTGCTTATGTTATATGAGTATAGTAATTTATAACTTTGCTATGTTATCATTTCTACATCTATATATAAATGAATTTATTTTGATATTTAGATGTGTTATTAGTCTAATATATATGACTTAGTTAAATTAATTTTTCCTTTTTTAAATTAGATATTCTCTAAAATTGTTTTCAATAATGAAAATATTTAGTATGGTATATAGTAATCTTTATTTAATTACAACAACAGAATTTTTAAATAGAAATATTAATGATTATATATTCTTTATCAAGTATATTATAAATAACTCAAAAAGCACAAAATTAAATTTGAAAAGATTCAGATGGTATTTCATAACTTTGAGATAAAAATATCTATTGAATTGTGATATTTTATGTTATTTGATACAATCAAATTTTATTATTTTAAAAAATCCTTCCATTAAACTCCAATATGATGATATCTTTGTAAATTTAATACAAAGGATTATAAGGAAGATTTAGGAAAAATTAATTAAATAATTTAAATAAATGGTTTTGATTTTAAAGTAAGATAATTTTTAAATAAACTACAAAGAATTTAAAGGATATTAAATTTTAAAATTGGTTTAGTAATTAAAATTTAAATATTTCAAAATAAAGATAAATATCATACTTATCTAAATAAAATAAAAAATTTTCAAATCATTATAGAATTAAAAAGTTTTTTATGTGAAATTGTTCTACTTTCGTTTATAATTACTACTTACAATAAAAATTAATTAGTAAAATGTGAAATTTTTTTATAATGAGAAATTAATTTTAAGTAAAGAGACAAAATTAATGTTAACAAAAACTAAGACATTAAAATATATCTAAAATTTTGTTATTTTCCTTTGAAATGATCCCTAAAAATACTGAAGAATATTTTTATTATGAAGGATATCATTTACAATAATACTAGTTACACAATTAGTGTTCATGCTTTTGAACTTAGAATTCTATTTTAGTTTAAATTCTTGAATGATGAACTTTAGATGGAAAACAAATAGTAATTTTGTAGAAAAAATTCATACTAATAAAAATATAGAGTAATAATGAATAAACGAAATATTTGCTATCCATCTCTAATTATTTATTTTTATTTCTAACTTTTTCATCTACAAAAGATTTAAACTATGCCTTTTATAAATAAGATTAAGAGAGATCTATTTATAAATTTATAAATCAATATTTATATAAATATAAACTTTTACTTATAGAATAGCAATTGTTAAAAAAACTAAAACAAGTGAAATTTTAATATATTCTCTCTTAACATTTTATTTCAAATTTTTATTTTAATATATTTTAAAAAAATATAACTGGATGTTTGGCGTTTATGAAACTTATTGAAGGAACTATAATTAAAAAGTAAAAAATTGAATTATTCAGTTATAAAACCTAAGATTGATTTGCTAAATGTAATGTCTTACATTTAAGATCTAAAGGGGCAATACTAAATTAATTCACAATCTAATATATGACAATAATAATTTATCACTATTCTCAGAATGTTAACAAAATTTAATTAAAGTTATTTATAAATCTTAACAAAAACTTTTTAAATAATTAATAAATGAGGGAAGTTAAGAGTAAGAAAAATATATAGAAAAACTCAAAAAAAGTTAAAAAGAATAGTAAATAAAAGCAGTAAAATAAAAAAGAGTAAGAAGTAGTGATATAAAACAATATTATTGAGTAAGATGAAATAAGTGAATTTGATGATGGCTCTTTTTCTGTAGGCCTTCATGATTCAGAAGATTATAGTTAAATTAATGATTATGGTAATTTTGATAATTTAATTAAATAAGGGGCAGAAATATAAGAACAAGATGACTATGAATATGCAATATTGTATTTCAATAAAGCAATAGAATTGGCTCCAGAAAAAGATTAAGCCTATTATTACAAAAGTTATATATTATATATATAATTTATTAGGTCTTTCTTTACATAAATTGAATCAACAAGAGAAAGCCTTAAAATATATTAGAAAAGCCTTAGAGATTGATCCTGAAAATGAAGATTCTTAAGATTTATAGAGTAATATAATTCATTATTTTTAGGTAAAATATTAAAAAAAATGAAACGTTAAGGATAAGATATTAAAATAGCTAAAAAAAAAAAAAATGAATATGCAAAATAATTATAGAGAGGTTAATTGTTAAATGATTTTAGCTTTTATCTTATAAGATTTAAGATAATATCTTAAAGCAATTGGTAGTTATAATGAAATTCTCACCTTTGATATTGATTAATAAATGAAGGAATCAGTATTGCTTAATAAAGGTAATTTTATACCTAATTATTTAGGTATTTCACTAGGTCTTATAAATCGTTATGAAGAGGAATTGGCCTGTTATAATAAACTTATAAAATTAAATCCAAAAAATCCTGAAGTATATTATCAAAAAGGTCTGAAATCTATTAATTTATTTTAGGTCTCTGTTTATAGCATTTGAATGGATATAGAAAATCATTAGAACTCTTTTAATAGACTTTGCAAATCAATCCTAATCATGTAAAAGCCAATAATTGTCGAAGTAATTTTAAATATGATTATTTAGATGAAGTCTTAAAACATTTAGAAATAATATCAAAAACTAAGCATATAGTTAAAAAAGGAAGTTGTGTAAAAAAAAAAAATAAGAAATGATTTTTCATTCTAAAATATCATAAAATATTAAACAATTATTTAAATTATATTTTTGTTTAAATCAACTAGTAATGATGTTACTTAGATCCAATATATACTTAAAAATATAGATTAAATATATTTATAATAAAGATTGAAGTTTATTTTATATGAAATATTAAGTTAAGCTATCAAATATTAAAATCTAAAAACTAATCATTTTGCAATAATAATAAAATTAGAAAATATTTTTATTATTTTATCAATAAATTAAAATATTTAAGATAATTCTCACTCTTTTAGTTCTTATTCTTATTCTTAATTTAGAAATTATAATTATTATTCTTCTTATTTTAAAATTTCTTATTCATTTTTATCTTCAATTATGTTTTAATTTATTTCTTAAGATTACAAGATAAGCTGCTGCTGATACTAATTTTCATTAATTATTAATTCATTTTATTTTAAATCAGTTACTTAAGATTATAAGGTTAGCTACTCATGCTAATTCTCTTATAACTCTTATTCATTTTATTTTATATCTGTCTTCACTTCTATATCTTAGAAAGTTTATTTAATTTCTTAATTTAATGAAAATTATCCCTACTAATTTTATTCTTAATTAATTTAAACTTTTTTGATTTCTTCTTATTATATTTGGCTTTTCAATTATAATTCTGTTGTATTATTTATATTTAATCTTTTTAATAAGTAATCATCTTCTTCAAGATTTTTTTTCTTGTTCAATTATTTTCTTTCATCTTAAAATAATCTGTCATAACATAATTATCCCATAATATAATCTCCTTATTTGGACTTTTCTTTAATAAATGATATGGATAAATTTCTAGAATTACAGAAATAATTAACTTGCAATCTTCTTCAGATAATTATTTTTTTTCATTTTAAACATAGATATTAGGGTTAGAATTGCTTTATTTAACATCAACTGGTTCTTTTTTTTTAAATTACTAACTCAACCAAGTAAAAAAAAGAAAAAGAATAAAGTTAGAGTATTTAGAATTAATAAAATTTTCTTATTCTTCTTTTGATTATGTTTAATTTTAATATTAGGAATAGTTCTTAGATTATTAATTGGATGATTATTTTGATTATTATGATGATTTTTGGGTTTATTAAGAATGTTGATATGTATTTTCTGATTATTGGGAACTCTAATTTGTATTACTCAAACTTTGATCATATTTTTGTCTTTCAGTTTCATTTGACAATATTTTATAAGCAGCTGTGACTTATTTAAAGTATTCCTAATTTATTATTTATAAAATACCTAATTTTATGATTATTAACTATTTGTGTCTGGATGGTATAATTTCACAATTCTAAGATAATTTTATTTTATTAAAGTTTAGCTAGCATTTTAAGGTACTTCAAGAAGCTAATAAAATGTTTTATAATAAAATCTAACACGATTAGATAACTTAAACATCTCCAAAATAATTGAAATTATTTCACAATTAAATTAATATAAAATTTAAATGTAAAGAGTGATTTATTTTTATTATTGATGAACTTTTTTTGATAAATTCATGTATAAGAAGATAGAAATTATTAATTACCTTAGATTAAAGATCTCAATTTTATTTTTAAATTAAATATTTTATATTTCAATATGAATTAATCTATAGTATATGAGTAGTAATTATATTTTACTTAAATATAGGTAAAAATTAAATAAAATTTATTGAATTCTAGTTAAAAATAGTTTTAGATAAAATTACTAAGAATTTTATTTATTCATCAAAAGTTTTATAGAATTTTTAAAATATTGGCTGATTTTCAAACATTGAGAGATTTTCTTAGTTTAACTATTTCCTACTTTTTATAGTTTAAAAATATTTGATTTTTATCAAATCTACGTTATTTTTATAAAATGACAAAACTAATTTAAATTTGTTACAAATTTCACATAAATTTATATTTTTATATAACAAATTTTTTTATAATTAATAGATTATGGTAAATTAGAATCAAAAGATAAACTTTATGTGATAATAAAAAATGAATTAATTTAATTATAATATTATAATTTTTTTTTTTTTTTTAATAATTCGCGGTTAGATTCAATTACTAAAAAACTATTTTTTAGTGAAAATAAAATTTTTCTAAAAAGCTAAACTTTAGGTTAAATAGATAATGATATTCTTTCAAGTAGTCACAGGATCAATTATTTCTTGTTGAAACAATAATTACTCATACATTAAAGAGGATAAACTGAGAGAGTTTTTTTTCTACACATAGAGAAGATGCTATATCTATTTAAAAATTATATTCAGATCTTGTTAGAAAAAGGTTGAATGTATAAAATAGTATTCTATCTAGATTATTTAGAGCATTTAGTTTAATTTCAATATCCTTCTGTGTTATTTTAATAACATGAATAATATTAAAAAGAGCATCTTAGCAGAGGGTTAATATTTTAGATATATTTTAACTAAATATTATTTAATTATGATAATAAAATTTGGTAGTTTTATAAATTTGTTTTAATTTTTATTAGCTTTAATGGTATCTTTTTGTTTCTATATATAAAATAAAGAGTTTAATAAATCAAATTAACAGATCCTTTTGAAGTAAAAATAATAAATGAAAAAGCAACTCTAATATAGTGCAAATCAAAAAAATACTTGGCTCATGTCTTTTTCATTTTTTGTAATAAGGAATTGATAAATTGTGATTTAGAATGAGTTTGAATGTATATAGAAACTTCTAAGCATCCCATTCCATATCACGATATTTTTAAAATAATAATGAAAGTATATTAATTACAGATTAATGTTAACATATTTAATAGCAAATGACAAAATATTCATAATATATTATTATCATAATTTTAATCGAGGCTTAAGTAATAAAGCTTAAAATATTCTAATCATTAAGTTATTAATTTTCATTATTATTATTTTTAATGCTATATTTGAATTTATAATAAATAGTTATTTTATAAAGCAATAAATATAGGCCCTGAAAGACTAATGTAAATTAAAATATTTTTTGGATCGTTTTCGTTGGAAAAAGATCTAAGCAATTCTTGGAAGTTTATTATATAATTAATATATTAATAGTATAGCATGAACTTTTAATGAAAAGGCTGAATTCAAGTCTTTAGGCGATTTTATTTTTAAATATAATTATAAAAATCAAGAAATTTAATTATACTCCTAATTTAAAATATCTACTTTAATTACATGTATAAGTTATTAATTGTTAAATGTTAAAGAAAAGAATTTAAAATAAAAATTGCTCATTTTTGAATTAAAAAAATGGTGATTGGTTTATAATTATTTATTTTAATATCAATATTAAGCTCTTCTATAATATTTATATTAAATGCATCTTAAGGATTTGATATTAATTGTTCTAAATTATTTTGTAAATCCAATTATTTCTTCTAATGATCAATAAAATCATAAAATTTTCTTATTATTCTTCTTATTAATTTATTTAGGATTTATTCTTCTCAGTTCTCTAATTCTCTCTTTAATTATGCCATTTTATCTTACCCTTTAATTACTACCATTTTAATTAATGTTTAAATAATGATTTATACATATTTTGAGTATTTGTTTATCAATTAGATTAGGATTTATGTATAATTATTAAATTTTCTTCCTTATTGTTTATTTGCCTTATCAAACCTTTCAAGTTTAACTCTTATTTTTAGTAAAAATCATTTAATATTAATTACAATAATAATAATTAATTTTATATATATTTTTTTTCTCTTCATAAACCTTTTATTAATAATCTTAATATTAGATGCTCTTACATGTTTATTAAAATTATAAATCAAATTAAGTAAATTACTTATGCATTTTTATTCTGTTAGAATGAAAATTTTGACATTCCTATTGAATTATGTTTTGAAGAAGGTAAAAAATTAACAATAAAGATATTATAAGAAACTTGTAATTCAAATTTGCTATAAAAAAATAATAATTTATAATTCTTATAAATTGAACTATTTCAGAATTTACTCAATTTCTCAGCATATTTATCATTTATATTTTCATTATTAACATAAATAAAAAGATATTAAAATCTAACTTATCTTTCATTTAAAATGATTTCAATTCAATTAAACTAATAAAAATGAGGTCACTAAATTCTGAGAATATCAATTTTGAATTTTTAAGATTTTTCTTTTGATAATTTACAATTTCTATTTTTACTTTTTGTTATTCTTACTACTTCTTTAATTAAGATCATAGTATTTTTTTAAATTAATTTAAAATTAAAACAATTGAAAGCTCTAGTAAGCCAAAATCATAAATATTAATAAATCACCAATAATTATAATTTAATAAATGTAAAAATATAAATAATATGATTTAATTATTTATTTTACAGGATGGGTTAAAAGTATAATAATATATAATAAAAAGATAGAATAATATGATTATTATTATTTATTATAATAATTTGTAAATTCATTTTGGTTTGAATTGACTTGTCTTTTTCAAAGCATCCTCACATTATTCTATGTTAATAAAATATAAATACTTTTTCTAATTTGAACCCAATCATCATTAGGCTTAATTTTCAAAGCTTTATCATAATTTTAGATTGCCTCTTAATATCTTTTAATTTCTTGTAGGCAAGCACCTAAATATATAAATTAATGATATAACCTTTATGAGTAAGTGAAAAATGATTGTTTGGATTACTATTTAAAGCAAGATTAAATTTTTATAATGCTTAATCATATTTTTTAAACATTCTTAATATTTCGCCTAATTATAAAATCTAATTACCTTTGCAACCTAAAGAATTAACATGGTTCGAATCACTATTTAAAGCATAATCAACCCAAATATCAGCATCATTAAATTACCCTTAAGCCCTTAAACAATCAGCTATTAATATAGATTAAATATATTACCCTTACAATATAGTGCATTTACTGATTTAGAATCCAAAGCTAATACTTTTTCAGCAATTGCAATTGATTACTTATACTATCCTAATGCTTTTAAATTATCAGCTAAGAAATGATAAATAATATTACCTTGATAATTTAATAATTTAATATTATTAGGATCAACTGATAAAATTATATCTAACTAAATATTAGATTCCTCATATTTATCTAATGAATGTAAGAGTTAAGCTAATTAATTAATTATTGTTTATATACCTTTATATTCTATAGCTGTAAAATTATTAGGATCAACTTTTAAATATTTTTCAATACAGTTTAATGCCTCTTAATGTTATCCTAATAATCTTAAACAATTTGCTAAATAATAAATATAAGTACATTTGCAAAGCATAGTTTCATGATGATTTGGATCTAATTTAAAGATCTTTTCAGTTAATTCTAAAGCATCATTTAAACGACCAAGTTTAAATAATGTATTTGCTAAATAGATAGTATAAATACCTTTGATATATAAAGTTGGAACATGATTAGGATCAATTTCTAAAACCAAATCAGTACATATAAGAGCCTCATTATTTTTATTCCATAAATGTAAACATTAAGCTTTTAATTATAAATAAATTTATATACATTTGCATATGAGAGTTTCTTTATTTTAAAAATTAATATTTAATACTTTATCAGCTAACCTAGAAGCTTCTACATGTTATCCCAAAGACAATAAAATACTCACTAATAAATTCAACTTATTAAAATACCTTTACAACTTAATAACTGTTCATTATTTGTATCTTATTCTAATATATTATTGATTAAATTTAATGCATCATTATGTTACCCAATTTTAAATAAGCATTATGCTAATTAAAGGATTACCAATACCTTTACAAGATAAAATACCTATATGATTTGGATTTATATTCAATATTTTATCACAAACCAATAAAGATTCTTCATATTTTTACAATTATTTTAAACAATCGGCTTATATTTAATTATTTATTATTACCTTTACAACATAAAGAGTTTAAATTATCAGGATCTAATTCCAAAATTTAATCAGTTAACTTATTAGACTCTTCAATTTTTCCTAACCAATATAAGCATTAAACTAAATTGAAAAAATAAATACGTTTGCAATCCAAAGTAGGTATATGTTTTGGTTCTATAATTAATGCTTTATCTACAAATTCTAATGCTTATTAATATTACTCAGATTATTTTAATTAATTTGCTTATAATTTACATTTATAAATACCTTTTTAACGTAAAAAATTAATTGATTTAGGATCTGTAGATATAGCTTTTTCAGACCAAATAGCAGCATTATCATACTAACCAAGTAAACGTAAACAACTTGCTAAAAATTATATTTACATATTATTACCTTTGCAATGCAAAGATCTTGTATGATCAGGATTTATAGCTAATACTTAATCCGAATAAACCAATGCTTCTTTGTAATTTCCAAGTAATCTTAAGTTATCAGCTAGAATTATAATATAAATTTATAACCTTTGCAATATAAAGTATCCAAATGGTTTGGTTCTATTGCCAAAACTTTATCAGCCCAATTTATAGCTTCTTCAAATTTATCAAGCAAATATAAACTTTATGCTTTTATATGATAATCAATTATTTACTTTTTTATATCAACATTTCTAAATTATTTGGATCAATTTCCAATAACTTATCTATACAAATTAATGTCTCCTTATGATTCCCTAATTATTTTAAACTATTTGCTTGAATGTTATTATAAATTTACCTTTATAATTTAATGTACTCAAATGATTAGGGTCTATGCTTAATACTTTATCAGCATAACTTACTGCTTTCTCATATTTTTTACGCATAAATAAACTCATCGCTTATAATAAAATTAATAATACTTTTAAAATACAATGCATTTACATGTTTAGGATGCTTTTTTAACAATTAACCAGCTAATTTTATTACCTTACGATAATTTCCAAGTTAAAATAGTATTTAAACTAAAAATTATATAATTATAATAAATACTTTTACTATCTAATACAATTATATTTTCTTAATCTGTTCCAAGTGCTTTATCAATTAATGCAAGTGCATCATTTGAGTTTTTCTAAGCAGATAATATTTTTGCTGTGATTTATAAATATAATTACCTTTCAAACATATAAGATTAACTTAATTTGGATCCATACTTAATGCTTTATCTGTCAATTAAATTGCTTCTTCATGTTTCTAAAGACAATATAAACTTTGAACTTGTCTTATTTACATTACTTTTACTTTTTAAAAATATCAATTTAATATCATTTGTGCCTTAAGATAAAGCTAATTCAATACATTCTAAAGCCTCTTAAAATTTACCTACCATAATTAAGCTATTTACTAATTATATGGAATATAATTTACTTTTGCATAATAATGTATTAATATTTTAAGGATCTTAAGCTAAAGCTATATCAGCAGATTCAATTGATTAATGATATTGTCTAAGTTCTCTTAAACAATTAGCTAACAAATATACTTTCCATATTACCTTTATTATTCAAAGAATTCAAATGATTAGGATTTATTTGTAAAATCTTTTCAACATATTATAATGCTTCTTTGTATTTCCCAAGCATACATAAACTCGAAACTATTATTTCAACTTATATTTTTACTTTTACAATCTAAAGTTTTTATATGATTTGGGTCTATTTCAAGTGCTTTATCAGCCCAAACTATTGATTACTCAAATTAATCTATTAATCTTAAACTATATGCTAAAATGTAATATTAATATACATTTAAGATAATATGCTCTAAAATTTGTAGAATTTAAAACTAAGGATTGATTAAACAATTCAATAGCTTCTTTAAACATTTACTTCTCAGTTAATTTTTAACCTAACTCAATTTAATGTTTAAATACCCTAACTACACAACTCTTTTGATTATTTAGCTTGTTAATCATTAGATTTACTATTTTACTCACTTAAAACACGATTTTCCTCTTAAATTACCTACTTTTTTTCACTTGATTAACAATTTTTAATCTCATTTATATTAGTTTAATTAATCTACTATACAATTAACTTATTTTAAAGATTTAGAATTTATTAATTAAAATTTTACACAGATTCTTAAATTATTTTAACAAACTCTTCTTTGAATTCATCATATTTTATCATCTATCCTATTACTACATTTATTTCTTATAAATTGAGTTTTTCAATATTCTAATTAGAAATTACATATTTTTTTTTTATTTCCTCTTTCAGATTTTAAAAATTAAACGAAATAATATCTAAATCTCTAGACATTTAATTCATAAGACTTTCATAACCTTATTCAAACTTTTCTATTTATTCTATAAATTAAGGAATATCAATCCAATCTTCTAAATGAGTTTAATGATGTTTATTTTAAACACATTTCATACAAAATAATCTAAATTCTGTACAATTTTCATTTAGGCATACCATCTTTACATTACTTTTATGCTCAGCCTTTTAACAGGGTAACTCTAAACTCTTTTCTTAAATCATTCTAGATTATACTATTTTTATTTAGATTTTTTAATTATTTAAATAACGAAAAAATACAAAAGTATTTCTAAAATAGTATGTTTTCTAGTAGACTCATATTTTCATGAATTAAAGATCATTATTAAGGATAATTTATTTAAACTTTTAACAATATCAATCATTTAATTTGCATTAGAGAACAATTCTAATGCAAACTATTGATTTGTTTTTAAGAATTTTAAATATCATATTAATTATTCTTATTATTGTTAAATTAATCATATGTATTCCATCTTTTATAATTTACATTAAAATTTATTTAATAAATGCAACTTAATTTATTAATCATTTCTTGAGTCTTTGAATACATAACTAAGTGCAATTAATAATTCAGATGTTGAATTTGGTTAAAAACATATATTACTCTATTTAGCTTCTTTACATTAGAAATAAGCAATCTTTTATAAAAAAACTCTTGCATCTCATTTTTCACAAGGTCTATGTTATCCTATTCTTATTTTTACCTCTATAATCATATTAATTTAAGAATAAAATTTTATTATTATAATTTTGATAGTTTATTACATAAAGCGAGATTAAATTACCTTTTGGTATATTTAACACATAAACATTTTTGAAGAAAAATGCCTTTCAGTCTTACATTAACTTAATTTTAATCAGAATTTATAAAGCAATTATAATTAAAATAAAGGAAGTAAACATATTTAATATTCTATTATAATTATATAATATCAAAAATGGTAATAAATATTATAATTTTGTGTTTTTATTTTGAGGTTATATAATTTAGATTATAAAGATAATCAATAAGAATATAAGTGAAAAATAAAAAAATTGTATTGTTTATTATTTGTTGAAAATAAATTTTTGTATATAAAAATTCATCTTAATAATAAATACTAAAATAATAAATATATAAAAAAAATATAATTTAAGAATGAAATTATAATTCAGAAACACAATTTTATTCCTTAACAAAACAAGATATTAAATTTGATTAATTTGGATTGCCTTGAAGATCTTAATAATTTTAAAGGTTTTATTTTAAATATTATAAAATATAGCAAAGTTTTAAAAAAAGAAATAAAGTTTTGTAGATTCCAGAAAAACCCTAAAATTCAATTAAATGTTTTTAATATAATTTCTGTAAGTAATCAAACATCATCTGAAATAGATTAACTTATATAAGTTTTATCTAGTGTGGAAATCTCTAAATAGATTAATTTTCTTATATAATTTTACTATAAACATGTAAATCAAACAATCTAAGCTTATAAAGAAAAAGAAGAAGTATCTGAAAAGTTAAAAAGTTTTATGAATGATCTCGAATTTTAAAAAAATTTAATTATTGATTAAATAAAAGTTTTAATATGTCAATGTTTTTAGAATTTAGTAAAATAAAATATATCAATTTTTTAATTGATCAAGGATTTAAGAGTTCAATAAAATACAATATTTTAGCAAAATTTTATCTGAGAAATATCAAACGAAAAAGAATAATGAATATTATATTTTAAATAATTAATTTCTATTAAATTAATAAATCATCTAATCCAATTAAAATAACTCAAAAACATATGAAAAAAACCATTAAATGCTTTCTTGATTTGATGTAAAATATCAGTAGTAAAATAATTGATAAAATCGATTTGATTTAATAAAATTATTAAGAATTTATAAACATAAAATTAATTTTATTCAATTTTAGAAAAAAGGTTGTATTTTAAAACTAAATTTATTAATGATTGAAATAGGAATTTAAAAAAAAATTAAGGACTTAAATCATTTTAATATTTTTTCTTGAATTATAAATTATCTTGAAAACTTAGATTTAAGATTAAAACTACATTCTCGTCTAAAATTAATTACATTAGACTTTTAAAATATTTGTAAAAATTAATTTTATTAGTTGCAATTCGTTCAATTTAAATGTTGTAGAAGCAACAAAATAATTACTAAGATTTTATTAATTTAAAATAAAATTCTAATCTCAAAATTTTAATTAGTATTTATCAAATATGAATGATATTAAAGTAAAATCTGATAAATGAAGATTAATAAACAGGTTTCAGGAGTTGATCAAAGTTATTTTATATCAATAATTTATTTTATTAATAAATTTAAAAAAATCTCAAATATACATAATAGTAAATAAATTCATTAATTTGAGAATCTAGTTAATATTTAAAATTAAATTTAAAAGAGAAACATTAGTTGTAGAAGAAAATAAACGTATGTTTTACATCCTCTCTATAATTATTGAAAAATTACAAAGTTGTTTGAAAAGATAAATTTAAACAAAAAATATAATAAATTATTTATTTTTAAAATTAATCTAATATATGTTTAAGGAGAAAAATTACTTACATAGCAGAGTTGAAAGTTTATTTAGTAGAGATGTTAAATAAGTATTTTTTTGAGTTCCTTTTAAATGAAAAAAAAAAATAAGATGAAGACACAATCATAAATAAAAATTTCAAATATGTGCTTAATTTTATGAATTAAAAAAAATATTAGGAATTATTTTAGAAATCAAAAATTCTTTTCTTTTTCAGATTTTAGCTTTTTATATTTGACTCTAACAATAAAGTTTCATTAATGAAAATAGATCAAAAAATTCTAAATTTATAATAAAAGAATTATAAGAAGGAAAGAAAAATGTATTTGTGAAAGCATATTAAAGTTAAATAACTATTAAAATACAAATAATTACTAGAATTCATGCTTCAAAATAAATTGATGAAATAATAATTTATATTAAGAAAGAAATTGTTTAGATTTTAAGTGGATAATGTTGTTAAATTCTTAATTCCTAGGATATAATAAATGAAGACATCTAAATTTCGAATATCAAGTAAGCAAAAGAATAATTACTGATAAAATGAACTAAAATTAATTCATTCTTACTATAGGTTAAAAATAATTCTAAGATTTGCTTATCATAAAATGGATAATTCGGGGCATTTGTATTTTGGAATGAAAGGTAAGCTGTTGTGGATTTATGGAAAATGAATAATAATACTGAATTAGCTGTTTTTAATAATAAAAATTATATTTTTTAGAATGATTTTTTCTCCAGACAATAAAGCTTTATTATCTGTTTAAATTAATTTATATATTCTAGTTTGTAATCTAAATTCACTAGAAAAATTAATGATCATTATAATTTTACTTAATAATAAATTGATCACATTTAAAAATTTTTAATTATGATAAATTTATTCTTTATTCTATATAAAATTAAGAGCAATTACATATTATTAAAACTGATTTATTAATTTATAGAAAATAAGAGAGTGAATAATTTTATACAGGAGAATATTTAAAGTATTACTTTACTAAAATTTTTTGAGATATTTAAAATTTTGTGTTAGTTTAGAATAATTATCATAAAGAGAGAAGTGTTTTAATTATTACGATCTTATTATTTTAGAATAAGAACTATAACTAGTAAATTATATGCCTTTTTTATAGAATACACTATACATAAAAAATTAAGATAAATTATATTAGATTATAATGAATTTATGTTTATCTATCCAATTGTTTTGATAAGAATAATATGATACTATCATAATACTCTTAGAATTTTTAGATGAAGAAGAAAATTAATGATTAATCTCTTCGTTTATGGATTTAATAAAATTATTAGCTCATTTTCAATATCCATAATGTAAACATATTTGGAGTTGGCTTTGATAATGGCAAATTATCTCCTTTTAAGTTTATCAAATTATAATATTGTTTACAAAAGATCAAATTTAAATTCAACAATGAGAAAATTTTGGTGATTGGATTGAGAATAAAAATAATTAGATACCTGAAAATTGTAATTTAAGTCAAAAATAGAATAATAAATTTTGATACAACTATTAATGCCAATTAGTGTTAGTCACTTTTATAATTATTCAAATAAAAAGGGGTTATTAGAGAAAAATAGAAAATAAGAAAAATTATTATATTCTTATATTCGTATATATCATTCATGATTAGTTGTAATTAATAATCATTTTACTATACTTTATTTTTTAGGTAAAATATGATTACCTATTAAAAATTTATTATAATAATATTTATTTTAATACTCATACCTTTTATAATAACATTTGATTATATTCTTTTAAAATGGTAAGATTATGTTGAATTTAATTTTAGTTAAAAATATAAAGCAATTTAATATAGTTAAAAAATGCTTTAAATTGTTTATCTAATAGATTATTAACTCTTTTTGTTTTTAGTATTCAAAAGAGATTGAGTTAGAAGAATATTTGATGAAATACAAAGAGGGATAGTCTAAACAAATATTTATAATATTCCATTTAATAAATTTAATGGCTTACTGATAGTACTCATACTTCTTATTATTTAATTGTATTTCACCTATGTATCTAACCAATTTTTTATGCTAAATCTTGTTTCGGAATAGTTTATTGATGCTCTTAAAATTGTTATTTTTAGGTTATTATTTGTGGTTTTCTAGTTTAATTTTAGTAATCACATATTAGTTTTTCCATAATTCACTATTCTTATATTTCAATCATTCAAAAATAAAATACATTCTTTATATATAATATCAGCAGAAGAAATGAAATAGATTAAGTAAATAATATTTCTAATAGAATTTGAACAATAAAATAATTAAAACACTATAAAAATGTAAATTTTATAGTATTTAATTTTATTCTATTAATTTGATTTTAAAAGCAATTAATTTAAACTAATAAATTAAAATAATCTAAATGTTAAATTTATAACCTAAACAAACTTAGATTTATCAAAACAAAAGCCTATAATCAAAGTAATCATTGATTCAATATTATGTGTATTAAGATTTATAGAATTTCATTAACCTAATATTTTCTATTAAAGCTGTAAAAGAACACTTTAAGGATAACTTAGATCATCCTATGGTTGAAATTTGTAATAACAAAATAATTTTATAATTAAACTTATCAAATGGAATTCATATTGATTAACATTAGTAATACAAAAAGGATAAGGATGATGAAAAATATTACAATAAAGAAAAAATAAATGCTTAAAAGATATTAGAGGAAGTGATAAAATAATTTTAATAATCAATCAATGAAAAATAAAAAAAATTATTATCAGAACAATTCCATTAAATTGAACTTTATAAAAAATATTGTTTAGGAGAAATATTTGAATTAAAATAATTTTAATTAAAGAATACAAATTTACCAACATAATTTAATCATAAAGTAGTATCTTAAATTTTAAATTCAGTTAAATAGGTTGATGGAGAAGTAAATGGAATTGTAGAAAATAAATAATATAATTAACCTAATTAAATTGAAATTTAATAAAAAGCAGAGTATAAATTTATTATACTTTTAGATAATAATATCAATTGACTAGAAATTAATTGAATTCTTATTTTCCATTGCAGAACAAAAAAAAATTGTAAAATAATGTCGAATAGATGAATGATACAAAAGATGGCAGCAAACACGATGATAATCATTCTAACCAAAAATAATTAAAAGGATAAGAATAATTAAATAGTTAGACAAAAGTTACTAAGTATCCTTAGCATGAATTTTTTGATTTTTCTAATGTAGTAATTAACTAGACTTAAGAGGTATGTCAATTGTTAAAAGAGTTTTTTGGCTTTTTTTTTAAAAAATAAAATCCTCAATTTAAAAAAAAGGAAAAAGAAAAGGATCTAATTTTGAATACAATAGAAAATAACTTCATAGAGTTAATGAAATAGATAAAGAAGATTTAAAATAAAAATAATGCAAATGAAAAGCCATCTACAGAATTTGCATATTCTGTATATTAAACAGGAATCTTAAAAGACTTATTCACCATGCATTAGATATTTTAGGTATTTATTCAGTTCTTAAATAATCCATTTCCTAAAAATTAAGGCTATTAAAATATTGACAAATTTAAATATTTTCTAAATTCTAAGTATAATTTAGATTACAATTAAGATAATTTCTTAAATTATTTGCAATATCAAAAAGAATTAATAGAAAAGTAGAGTAAAGATATGTTATAATTTTTTGTTGGATTTAAATAATTTTACAAAATTAAATGATTAACATGATTTGTTATAAATATTATGCTATTTGAGCAAACTAATTTGTTTTCTAAATAAATCTTTTATAAAGAAATAATTTATTTATAATTTTTATTTTTTATAACATTTATTGAAAGAGAAAATCATTTTCCTTCTAGTAAATAATTAATTTAATTAAATAATAATAATTTATTTAGAATTAAATTCAACTTATTTTTTGATATGTCAATAAAGCTATACTTATATTTTAGTCCTTAAATTTCCTTTATAAATTCTTTACTAAGTCCCCTTAAAAACAATATACAAAAAACACTTAAGAGGTCGAGTTTCAATCTATCCTTTACTAATCTAAATTGAAATAATTTACAAACTAAATGTCTATCATCTTCATTCAGAATTATTTGTATTAAATTTACTATAAGATTTTATATATGGATTATAAATTTCCCCATTCTTAAATAATTTCTTAAAGTAGTACTTTCATTTGTTGATGAATCTTATTGCAATTTAAATAATAATATTTATATTTCATTGGCTAACTTGCAGGATGAAAAGAAACTATGCTTTAAATTAGCCATTAAAGATGTATTATAATTTTATATTGTTATTTTTAAATACACCAAACAAACTATTCACTTCTAAAATTAAATATAATATGTTATTTTTGTAAAGTTAAATATAGTAAAATAGGATTGTTAATTTCATAAGAAAATATATGAGTCAAATTCAAAAAATATTTATAAAGTAACGTTTTGCTAATTAGATAGGTTGTTATTAAATAAAATTAATAAATTTAGAAGTATTTCCTAGAATTAGCAAATAGTTCACAATTTTTGCAATAATTTAAATTTATTACAAATATGCTAACAAAGATTTAAAAAAAATTAATATAAGGTGAAAATGAATATGGAGGAAAGAAGAGTAAATATATAATACAATAAATTTAAATAAGCAGCATAGAAGAATTATTCCTAATTAAAAAGGTAGTTGAGAATTCTTAAATGATAAAATTAAATACAAGGTATATAAGCTTGTTTCTTATTCATTTTTTAAAGACTATCACATCGATGTTAACAAAATATTTGGTAAAATATAATTAATTAATTTATCTAATTTTATAAAAGTAATTAAATTCTACCTTAACTTAATAATCAAATAATTTTGGGTTCATCTTAAATTTTCTTTGCATTTTCTAACTTATATTTCTTTTGAACCACTATCCCAAGTTATCAAATACTCTCCATTATCACTTAGTTATCCATAAATACTTTCATCACTAAATTCAATAGATTATTCAACCACAAAGTCATCATTTTCTTTTTTTGTCATTATATTAATATTATTACCATTCTTATTCACCAACAAACATTTTGACTTTAAGTACTATTATGGAAATAACCTACTACATCTATCTGAACCACACCTTACAACAATTTCCTTAGTCTTCCTATAATTGTGAGTATTACTATCCAATTTATAAACATGCATTTAATCTTTACATTTAGGCTAGAATGTAAATAAATTATCATCTATAAAACATAATCTAAATCCATACTAATCTACTTTTATCTATTATATAACATTCCACTTTTTATCCAATTATGCCTACTCCATTACTAATATTTATTAATCATCAGAACAAGAAATCAATTTATTTTAATTTTCATTTAAGCTTAGTGAACATACATTACTTGTATGATTAATTATAGTTTATTAACACAACCATTAATTCTAATTCCCCCAAAATTTAATTGTTCTATCACAACCTCCTGATATAATTAGATCGTCATTATTATTTATCAATAAACAAAGTATCCAATTTTAATGTCCATTCAATTTTTATTAACAATTCCATTAATAATTAATTTCATTCACTTACCATATTATAATTGATTAATCTACACTTCCAGATACAAAATTATTATTATTTCTCATGAAATTTAAAGTAAATACTTCTTTGGTATGCTCACTTAACATTTATATTGAATTAAGCATCCCTTCTTAATGTAGAAAGATTTTTATTTTTTCTTTACATCCAGCTATCATGATTGAGCAATCCTTATTAAAAGAAATTGCTTTACAAGATTCAACTTAGTTAATTATATTTTAATTCATTAACTCAAATTGATTAATTCTCTATTTTATTTAAGTTTTGTTGTTTTTTAATATTTCATCCACAATTAATTTAACTTATTATATTGATTATTTGAGTTAATTAAATAATTATTACTAGTAAACTTTTATTTAACATAAACTCTTAATTATATTATCAATCTAAGTGATTCCCAATTATTCTACATTAATGTTGAAATAAGGAATAAATTTAGCTATAAGTCTATCAAGTACTAATTTGCAATCTTAAACATTCTTTTATACATCATTAAGATTAAGAATGAGAATTTGTTGTTAAATCCATTCATCAAAACCTTCTATAGGAATAAAGTTGTTAAGATGTTAACCATGATTAGGTAAACAAAAAACACAAAATGCCCTTTGATATTGGCAATTGTTATCTATACATATTCCAATTATCTACTGATTAATATGATCAGCTTAAATACATTTAACCTACATTTTTAATTCTATTAATATAAATATTAAAATATAAAGAAATTAAATTTTTATTAAAAAGTTTGATAATCAAATTAATATACAGATTTTCATAGGCTTTTTGTAAAAAGTTAATCATAAGAATTGATATAGATTATTAGTAAGCAATGTTACATCTAACTAATACAATAGCGAAGTAGATTAGGATGCACATATTATTTAATAATTATTTATTTTTGTTGTTTCAGAATTTTAATTTTGTTTCAGAACCTAATTAAATTATTAATTGATTCAATTAAATATAAATATAAATATAGAGGTATTCATATTTTAACATGATTTTTTATTTTTTTAAGTCAATCCTTAAATAATAAAATAATAATAAAAAAAATTCAGATATGAATATATTTAATTAGTTAAGATAAAAAATTCTTCGGTTTTATTAATAAAAATTCAAACAGATTAATCTTGCTTGTATAAAAATACCTAAATATCCCTTCTATCTTAAATAGTCTCATCTAAAGATTTAAATATTCAAATTAATTGGATTAATTTAAATTTTCTTTGTTATTCTTGATCTTAGCAATTATAAGGAAAGTTATGTATAAATCATAAATCTTCAAAATTTTTGGAAAAAGAACTTCTACATTATTTCACAATATTGGAGAATCTTTAAAATCTCGAAATCATTTCAATAGCAAGAAAAAGAGAAATCGATTGTAAAGAAATTTTAGAAATGAATGTGGCTTCAAAATTTAAATCTTCTTGAAAGAAAATTTGATAATATTGTAATAATTAATAAAGTTCATTCCAAACTTATTACATGGGCTTCTTATAAATAATATTATTTTTTTCTTATTTTATCATATATTAAACTGTATTTTATTTCTAAAAAAATACTAATTCAAAGAATAACTGACAAAAAAAATAAAAAAATGGAGATTATAGCATGTTAATTTAGTACTCTTAATTATTAAATTATTTATTATTTCATTTGTGCTATCTAATTAAAGACTAAATAGATTTTAGTTTTATTTATTTTCAATATAAATTCTTTTTATCAAGCAGTAATAAAGATAAAATCTGTTAGAAATATTTAAATGCTTTTTTTTATAAACTATATTACTGAAATTTTTCTATCTACATAGAAGAATAATATAATAATTTAATTAAAAATATTAAAATATGTTTAGATTAATAATTGAACTCAAAGTATTGTTCTGTGTCTGGCAAATAATAAATTTTCTTAATGTACAAGACTTTATACCTCACAACTTTAATAACGAATAATTAAAAATTACTTTCTTTTTTTCTTGTGAATCTTGCTAATTTTCTATAAATAATAATAATAAATAATATTAAATAATAAATATAATAATAAATAATAAAAATAATAACAATAATTGATTTATAAAATCTAAAAAAATTGTTATATTTAAAATAACTTTTTTTCCGAGTGATTAGATAATACTTAAATATCCTTCATTTATAAGAATATTATCTGATAATATTATTTAAAAATAAGTTTTATGGATAATAGATATAGTATTTGTATATATATAAATTAATGATATTTTTTCAGAATTCAAATATGATTCTAATAGTATAAATTAAAAAATAAAAATGATATTCAATAAATAATGTTTTATGAAAATTTGTATGATTTAAATATATTTTAAAAAGTTGAAATAAAAAAAATAATAATCTTATATTTTCTAAAATAATTATCAATAAAAAGCTTTTTAAGATTGTTAAATCATAAAAATAATAAATTAATAATTTCTAAAATAACCAATCATCTAACTATTTTATTAGTTTGATCTGATATATTCTAAACTTGATTTTTTTGCATCATTTTTATTGTATGAAAATTATTTTTAAAAATAATAAATATATAAACAAAAGCAGAGCCACCTATCAGTGACATATCAGTGACAGTGAGATTATTAACCATCCAATTAGAATAATTTTAGAATACATCATTATATATGCTCCAAAATATATATATCTAAAATATCATATATATAATACTGAAAATAGAATGACGTATAAGCATAAATCTATTTAATTAAACAATTGAAAAAGCAAGGTTAAGTTTTTTAATGGAAAATAAAAAGCAAAATAAGCAAAAACAGACAAATAACATTTGATATTGATAAGCCTACTCCTGAAAATTGCTAAAAACTGTATTAATAGTTTGGCTTAAGTAAATATGACAACTTAATTGGTTGTATATTTTAAATCTAAGGAATGATCATTATATTATAATATCGGGTTTATCTAAGCCTGTAGAGGATAATAAATGATACATCCAACAATTGACAAAAAAGATGAGTAAAAAATGTAAATCTTCAAAGCATTCCGCATTTTATTTTCTGGTTAACTTATAAGGATATTCTGAATAATCACAAATAAAAGCAACATTATCAAATTTATAATTTTCTCCAAACCAACCTGCTGGCTGTTCAAATGCTAATAATGATAAAGATATTATATCATATAATTTTATTAAAACTGCTACAATATTAGACATTGATAAATAAAATACTCTTCACTTGTTTTTTTAACATTGTTAACAATTTTCTTTACAAGTTCATTCCATTCAGGAATAGCTTAATTTTATTATAATAATTATTGAGTATTTTTTAGTTATTAAAATTACATAAATAATTTATTTCTAAATTTATCTAAAAGTAATTTTGGTTAGATCCAAAAAAAAGAGTGAACTTTTTAACAACATTTCCAATATTTAAGCTAGTCTTCATTAAACAATATATCTTATTGTTGAATATTTGGTTATTCAATCTAAATTTATTGGTTTTATTATTAATTATTCTAAATTTTCTATATTTTCTATATTTTATCAAGATGATAAGAAGTTGTTTTAAATTTTTGATTTTTAAAGGGATTTCTAAATTATTTACGAATTTAAAATTTGGTAAAATCATTAGAGTGACTCTATACCATTGGATAAAGTAAGACAGCATATTTTTAAAGGATTGAGTAAAAATTCTACAGACCTTAACATTATAAACTATTAAAAATTAATTAGGCAAAACCTTCGCTTGTTAAAGTAAAACCGTTGTTCTTATTCAATTGAAAAGATTAAAATTTTTATAGAGTACAATCTTCTCTTTATAAATTTAACATTTTCAAAACAATAGATAAGTCTGACATGAAATATTAGTGGATTCTTAGCCAAAATTCCTCTACTTTTTCAGGTTAACTATTTTTTAAACTAATATAATATTAATCTCCTTCAATTTTTTTTTTTCAATTTCTGGCATATTATTTACATCTGGATTTTTCTAAATTTACTCAAATATTTATAGATTCCTTTAAAATATTATTTTTTTTTTCTATTATTCTAACTCTTTTTTACCACATTGACAAAAGAGAATCTGTATAAAATAACTAAGTAATTTTTTCAAAATTGAAGATTCTTAACTTTCAACTTAATCATCTTAAATCATCCTTTCGAAATCTGATCTTGATATTAATTTTTTAGGAAATTATTATTACAAATCTGATTATTTATCAGTATCACAAATGTTTACTGGATCTCCTTCACTTAAGCTTTTTAATAATTCTACTTCTGTTATTTTTTAATATTTAAAATATATCAATGAACAAGTTTCTTCATTTGAAAATACATTATATGTATATAACCATTAAATTAAGATTTTTAAAACCTACTGTTTTTTCATTTCTTATTCTTCCATTTTTAAAAGTATTGATTTAAAAATGGCCCTAATGTTAATGATAAAAATTGTTATAATTATTAAATACTCATTATTATAGGAGCTATAATACCAATAGGTCCAATTACAAAAATCCATACAATGATAATTATCAAAGGTATTATAAAATTTTGATGTTATTCAGAAAGTAAATTATAATAATAAATAGCTACTTATGGCAAACCAATTATATTAATTAATAATGCAATCCTTATCATCATATTACTAATACTAAAAGCTATAGGAAGTATAATAGTAAGCATCAAAATTATCAAGTCTATGATAAAGTTTAAGATATCATTAAAATAATCATCAGATTATTAAGAATTTAATTGATTAATTTTGGTTAAGATCAAAGCTTTGTTCATCAATATATAGAAAACTATCAATACTACAAGTAAACCTTTCATCTAAATTATTTATTAATAAATGCCACTCCTTTTTTAACATCTGTTGCAACAATTGGTTCATTCAATACGAAATAACATATTCCATAAAATCCAAAAATAAAACATATTTAATTGAACCATAATGCTAAATTTTTTAAATCTATGCATTTAAAAGTAGAAATAAAATCATTTTAATTATAAGATTTATTAAAATCATATAGATATATTCCCATAACATAAATATGATAAATTATAAAAGCAGCTACATGAATTAATCCTAAACCAAGAAATATCCAACAAAAAAATTATAATCCTGAATTATTAAATGAGTCTTATAGTATTTGGAAATGCAAAACCAATAAAAGAAATTATAAAAGTGATCATTTTCATATATAATACTTGAGATCTAAAATATCCAATTGTACTCCATGCCAAAGTATCAACTAAAGGTAAGTTTCCAATTATAACTGATAATGATCTCAAATAATTGATATTCTATTATAGATTTTAAAATTTTAGACATATAACACCCAAAACAACAATATAAAATAATGTCCACCAAAGATATAAATTATGAGCATGATACCCTGAATTTATCATAATAATAGTTAAAAATAAAAATAATGGTATTGCCAAAATAAACTGCAAAAGCTATTGTCAATTCTATATCTCCTTAATTTAATTAGTAAAATGTTAAAATATAGCAGAATAATTCCAGAATGGTATAGCAAATAATAATTAAAATAGGAGCTGTTTATTTTAATTTTAATTTTTCTTTAATTTTAGAAAATAACTTATCAATCTTTTATAAAAATTCTGTTTATATTTATGAATCTATTTAAGTAACCTATATTAATAATTTAAGATCCATTTAAATTTACTCTGGACTTAATTATAAAAAATTAATCTTGATAATGCAAAAATAATAATAAAAGCTGTTGGAGGAACTAATTCTATTATATTTTCTACTAAAGTTTCTATTAAATCATAATTTATGCTTAAAATTATTATTAATAATTTAAAAAGAATTAAGTAAATTACAAATAAGCAAATCCACAATTATAAATTGTTGCAATCAACTTAGATGAAATTCGAACTAAGTAATTATTCATTACTTAATTTATCATTGAATTCAAAAAAATGATAAAACTTAAAATACAATATCCTATGCCTGTGTAATTAATTTCTTAATCATTGGATTAATTTTACAAATACCCAATCATAACAAAAAATGGGATCAAAATTAAAAATAGAAACAAAATCAGCCACAAAAACTTCTTCTAAATGTTTTAGCATCTAAATATGAAGAAATAGTTACATAAGTGAAAATATTGCAAATAAAAATGAATATATTGGGAGATTTAATAAAATATCTAATCTAAAATAGCTATCTTATATATTATCATCATTTTGTAATTACTAATATATATGAATTTTTTACGATTGATTCAGCTATAACACATAAAAAGATACTCCAAAATACAATATTAATAATCAAATCATATGTATTAAATTGGATTTGTAAATTAAATCTAATCTACTCACTTATTTTAATTTCTCTTTTTATTAAATAAATCTCATAATATAATTGCCTTAAATAATCAACCAAACTCTTTAATTTAGGAAAATTCTAAAAAATATCTGCTTCATTTCTAGTTTATTAATTCCTTAAAATTTCAAGTAACTATGAAGTTTATTAATTTTATTGTCCAATTTAATGATATTATTTGTAATTTATTGAAAAAGTTTCATCCATTTATATTGGAAGAGCATTATTATCCAAATTTATTAATTAATGTACTAAGGCCTATGCCATTAAATTTTATTTTTTAAATATTAATCTTAATTTATTTTTTTTTCAAGAAAAAATAATTTAAAACAATTAATTCTACAAACTATTATTTATTATTTTAAGTTTGGATGCATTGTTATTGATTTATTAATAAATATTTTCCAAATAATTTGTCATTTTTTAGTTATAATTTGGAGTCTAATCATAAAATCTTTATATTTACAAATAAAATATAAATAATATCTTAGACATCATTTATTGTAAATTTATTATTTTAATATTGATTGATTGATTCGTATCCAAAAAGAAATTCATAGATTAAAATAAGTAAATTATTTCTTATTAAATAAGTTAATGTAAAAAAAATGAGTTGGAAGAATGTTTTAGTCCTTAACATAATTATGAAATTGGATTCAATATTTTTGGGTGCAGAGATAAAAATTTTTTTCGTTATTTTATTGGCAGATGACTTAATATTTATCTAATAAAATCACAAAGATTATTTTACTTAATCAGGAAAGAGATCAAGGTTTGCTTAATATACACATCATTATGTGATTAAATTCTATCTTCCCAAATAAATGGTTTATAAAAGGAGTTTAAAATTATTTGTTGCCTAATTTAATAAGTAATATTAAAAAATTCAAAATGAATGATGTGCCTAAAGAATTTCTATAATCAGAATATAGAACATTCAATTAAGCAGGATTTTATTTCAATTAGTTGGGGTAAGGAGCTTAATTTAAACAATCAAAAATGGGAAGCTTAGTTTAAGTGCTAAAGTAAATTATTAATTTTTATGAGAATAATAATTTTTTATTTTATATATATATTATAGAAATTTAGATTCCTAACCATTCAAAAGTTAAGTATTTTAAACAAAGGTTTTATTAACTAATTAAAATTAATGAATAAAATTGAGTCTATATTCTTAGCCAAATATAAATATATTTATATATTTTATAAACAAAATCAAAAAATAAAGAAAATTTTTTATAATCCACTCATTCCCAACATATAAACATCTTTAATAAATCTCAGAATCATTAAATAATTTGTTATTCAAAAAACAAAAAATAAGTTAATATTTTGAAATAAAAAGAGTCTATTTATTTTTTCATACTAAAAACTTAATATGATTTAGTTTAATATTTAAATGTCATTAGAATTTTAATCTAAATGTTAAATTGGACGATTTAATCATGATTAGATATATACCATTAGATTCTTAAATAGAAACTTTAAAATATATTTTAGTTTATGATTAAGTGCATGAGTACTGATTTTATATTTTTCCAACTTAAATGCTTATGAATACTGGACATTCGCATATACTTAATTTACTTCCATAAAAATTAATAATAATGAAGAAATTTTTATTAATAATTTAGGCTGGTGGATTTTAGAGCAATATGGATATTTTACTAGTAATTGTGGAGGAGTATCATTATTTTTTGTAGGTTTTGATGCATTTTGGAACTAAAACTAAAATTTTAAAATTAATAACTGTTCCATTTCATTAAAAATTATGAATCTTCCTTAAATTCTGGTAGTATTAATTAATAATTAAAATTTAAAAGAATAGAGTGGAACTTTTATACTTATTTCTTAATGATTTGTTTATATTGGAATCTGGGGTAATGGTAGGGTTTACAAATATGAAAATACTAATTATTAATGGAAAGAAGTTTATAAAAATTTAGAATTCATCTTGAACATAAGTAATCAACTTTTAATATAATAATGAAATTCACTTTAGAAGAACTTATTAATAATTTATGTAACCATATTTTTATAAGGAATTGTGGGATTTTTTTAGAGATTTTATAGTTGAATATATAGCTTGTTTACCAGGTTATATATAAACTTAATTTAATTAAACAGAATTAATTCATTTATATAGTGATGCTAGTGGAGGAGACAAGTTATTAAATATATTCTCATAAATTGAATAGTACATTAATAAGAATGAATTCTGATAAAAAGGATAGATACCTAGTGATTTCTCTATTCAAGATGTATGAACTATAATAAATGTTTATGATAATCAATCTCCTTTTTAAACATATGGAAATATTAATGTTTTTAGAGGATTTTATCTGTTATCTTGGAATGCATTTATCAATTTGGTTTAGAATCTTCCAGAAATATACAAAAAAAATAAGAATCAAATTATCATTTTGAAAAATTTGATACTTGGTATATTGCTGCATTCTTAGATTATTAAATTAAAGTAATTTAATTATTTCCATTTAATTTAATAAAATAAAATTTTACGTAACTTTTTTATTGCAGTCAAATTAAACTAATTTTTTTAGTTTTGAAAGTAATCAATCTCAAAACATCTGTGAATTAATCTAATATGGAATTTAAACATATTGTTGTTAATATATAATTATATAAAATTTTTCTTAAATTTTAATAATACATTTGAGATCTGCTAATTTCAAATTTAATTACAATATCTGTAGGTTTCTTAATTTTTTATTCTTTCATCTTCAGAAAATAATAAAATAAATATTTATAAATAATAGAAAATTTAATGTGTATGAAGAAATAAAACAAAAACTTTATTAAATATTTATAAATAAAAATAATTTGATCTAAAAGAATAAGAAATAGGCTTTGCAATTTTAATCAAATAACAGACATAGAGAAAAGTTTAAATAAAATTATTTTAACTTAAATGATCAATTGATAATAAATTGAATAAATGGGATCAAGTTTTGATTTTCTTATTTTAAATAAAATGAAATGATCATAATATAAAATAGTATTATTATTATATTTAAAATATAAATAAATTAGATATTTTCATGAATCTAATTTCATTTTAGAATCTAATTTCATTCTTTAAACTTCTTTAATCACAAGTGGGATTAAAATAATTCCACCTATTATAGATATTGCTCCACAATAAAGAAATAGTTTTTGTTCAACATATGAAACAATTATCTAATTAATAGCTGCAAAGATAGCTCCATAACCCATAATTACTGAAACTACAGTAGTAGTAGCTTACTTGTTTTCTAATAATTTTAAATAAAGTAATATACTTGAAAGTTCTGGTTAATTACTTAATTCCACAGTTATAGCTGCTTATATATTATTGTAACATCCTCCAATAAATAATCCTGTTAGAAAAATTAATGAAATGTATCCAGCAACTTCATGTTTTAATGAACCACTGTAGTTTACTGAAATCATAACAATTGTACCAATCCATAAAGCTGGAACAATGATTACGGCTCTTTTATTATAATAATATCCAATGAAACTAAATTTATTTAGAATCTAACCATACTAAAATTCCTCCAGGGATAGATCCTACATCTGTTTAAGCTGTAATCCATGCAACATCTGGAACCTTTTTTAAATCAAGATAAGCTGGTAACCAAAAAGTAAGAATATAATAAACAGCTTTAACACAACCAAATGCAAATGCATAAAAAGCCACATTTGGTACAAACCAAGCAGTAAAATAATTTAATTATTCTTATTATTGATTAACTTATAAAGTTGGTTAATTATTATCTACTGTTTCATTCTTGCTTAAGTTTAATGAGAAGTTAAGAGTATTTTCATATTTCTTTTCTATTAAAGCTATAGTAAGCTATTAATTTTCATTTTTCTTTTCCTTTTTTTTATTTTATTCATATTCTTCAATCATTCTTTTTTTTATATCTGCCTATGGACCACTTTATAGAAAGAAAACATTAATAAGGTTGATAATGAAAAGAGAGACAGCAGCCAAATAAACTGCTGAATACAAAGGTAAATCATCTCTTCCAATTAGAGAACCTGAATAAATATCTCCAAATATATCTCCAACATTTGGAGCTGCAGCAAAACAACCTAATAGCAATATTTTTTTATCTGTAACAAACCAATTATTTAGAATAGCTATATAATTATTTATTTATACCTAATAATCCAGGCCATGCTGTAGATTATGACATTCCATTTAAAATTTATAATATCAGATATAAATAATTCTTTTTCTCTTGAATTTGAATCATAACACCAATTATTGTAAAAATTATACTTGTTGTAAAAGTTCCTGCTAATATAAATAATCTTAAATTCATTCTATCTCCAAATTAACCTAAACTAGAATAATTTATCATTTTACCAAGATATCGCTATACCATAAAAAAATAGAAAAGAAAAATTAATATACCCTAGATATTTAGAAGTAAAGTAATTTTAGTTAGTCATATCCCCTGAAACATAACTCCAAGTTGATCTAGTACAATGTATGAACACATATTAGAAAAAACAAAGTATAAAAGTTATGATTCTTTAACTTTTCACTCCTGGTATTTATGACGCAAACATTCTCCTAAATTTATTAATTACTTATACTTATACAAGTAAAGAAAATTTATCTACTTTTAACAATATACATTTTTACTTTCTTCCTAAAACTTAAAATATCTTATCAAATAATTTTAACTACCCATGAAAATAAATAATAAATTCTTCATTCTACAAGATTCTTTTACTATTTTAACAAATATCAAGAAATCATAAATACTAATGAATTGATAATTTGACTTCAGTTTGAAATTAATCATCATTTAAACTATATAAATTGACACAATCTTTATATATTACTATATTTGATTAGGTTTATAATTATTATCAAAATTTGAAAATTAAAACAAATAATTTTATTTTTAACAGAAAAATAAATTTTAAATGAGAATGAAATTATTTTGATAATTTTTATTTTATTGTCTATAAAAAAGTAATTATCCATTATCTGTTCTATATTTTACAATGTTTACAATTTCTTCTTTTTAATTATCTTTTAAGAATTATGAATAAATTCTTCAAATTTCCTTATATGTTTAATTTTTCTTATATCAATAAGTTTATGTAAAATATAATGGTTATAATAGATTAAGCTTGTGAAAAAAAAATGAAAATTTTAAAGTTTTTTTAATCAAATTAATTTATAATGAAATTCGTAACAAACAATTAAAATAAATTCACACTGGAAAATTTTATAATATTATGATCAAGTTTAAAAAGAAAATCCCGTAATATTGATTATTATTTGTTAAATTGTTTATTAAGAGTTGTATTTTATCTTTTATAATTAAATTATTTTTATAAATATTTAAAAAGCAAATTTTATATATTAATTGTTTCAAATATTTTATTTTCTTAAATTTTGATTTTTAAATCCAAATGAAATTGTTTTATTTTAGCTAAAGCCATCATTATATACGAATAACAAAGTCACCACTCGAAAACTTGTAAAACCCATTTAGTGACACCAAATTAGATATATTCGCGCATTGATAAATTAAATTTTTTTTTCAAACGGAATTGAAAGAGTTTAGTCAAAATCATCTTGCGAAAATTGTAAATTTTTATTGAATATAGTATTATTTAGATAAACTTCACTTTATATTTTAAAGAAATAGAATAAATATTAAGTTGTAAGGCTGCTAATTTTTTTGAGTTTTTATTAGCAGAGTTTTGGGTCCTTTGGATCTTGATTAAAAACATTTGTAGAGGGTCAAAAAGGGAAGTTCTTGTTAATTTAAATTTAATCAATGTTAATTAATACAAAAGTTTGTTAGAATTATTAATTCTTTTAAATACTTGAGGATAGGTGGCTATATTTTAATGGTAATAATTTGGAAGATTTGATATAATAAAAACTTGAATAAATATCATCCTGCCATATCAAGATATATGAATTTGTATAATCATAATTATTATAAATGAGAGATTAGTATAATATTGTTTATAAATAGAATATTGATGTTTTTTAAGATTTGTATAAATTTTTCCTATATATATTAGATAAAATCATATTCAGGCCATAACTCCAAGAAGACTTAAGGTTACTATGGGTAGAATCATGCCGTAAACATCGGTATTGTCACCACCAGTAGTATTACCACCGGTTGTATTATTGTTTGAGGTATTTGGTGAAGTAGCTCCTGCTCTACATTGTTCACACTTATTGGTAGTTTAATTCCAGGTATAAGTGTAAGCAGATTTCTTATAGCATATCTTTGAATCATTCAAGGTCCCAGGATCACCTGAAGCACACTTACCATTTTGAAGAGTGCAAATAGTGAAAGCTTTGCCATCAAAACTAGGAACTGGTTAACAATCAGTACCATTTGCAAATGTGTCACAAACATGAGAAACACAAGCAGCTCCAGTCCATTTACAAGAGCTATTTTTTCCACAAGCAACGGAGTCAGCATTTGCATCTGAACATTATGTGAATGTTTTACAAGTTCCATTGACTTTATCAGTGGCAGAATTAGGTGTGAATGCACATTAAATTTGATTTGTTCCTTCTAATCCTCCTCCACTGCATGCTTCCTAAGTTTTATATGTTGAACAAGCTGCTTTGGGTATACAATTTTTGGTATTTGAAACACATTCTTTTCCAGGTATAACTCCACTGCAAGCAGAATTATTAATTCCTTTATCAATATCTTCGCATAACTTTAATCTGCAAGCTTTATCTCCAGTTGTTTTACCAACAGCGAAAGAGAAGATACAAGTTCCATCTGTTCCTACTTAGCATCCAGCTTCGGTATAACTTGAGCAAAGTCCGAGTGGGATACAATTTGTTCCATTTGTAGTGCAAGAACCTCCAGTAATAACTTAGGATCTGCATCCATCATGTGTTGTTCCAGTAAGATCTGAACAATCCTTCAATTTGCATTTAGAGCCATTCCAGAAGCAAATTCCATCAGTTCCTAGATTATTTTTACATGCTATTTCTGTTGTGTAGTCAGAACATATACTTTTTGCAACACAAGCTGTTCCATCAGTAATACAACCACCATAAGCTAAACAAGCATTCTAATCATTTGATACTGCATCTGAACATTAATTAAATTTCTAACATTTATCTGTTGGTAAATATCCGCAGACACCATCAGTACCTTTAACACAAGATGCTTTTAAAGCAGTTTTAGCGCAAGAAGTGATAGGTATACATCTGTCACCATTTGTAGTACAAAGGGGAGAAAATTCTTGACACCCTTCGTGAGATCTTATTTCGGCGTCTTCGCATTTCTCGTAATTATAGCATGTTCCTTTAACCCACAAACAAGGTTTTTTCTTTGATTTGATACAGTATTATTAAAGTTTAAAGTCAGAACAATTTTCAGCTTCAACACACTCTGTTCCATTTGTTTTACAACCACTCAAATGTGCATCACATTCAGTATCAGTCTTTCCACTTAAATCTTTACATTTTCTCTCTCTGCATTTATTATCTTCCCATCCACAATTACCTAATTCACCAGTTAAAATATTTTTGACAGATGCAGCTCTACAAATGGATTCAGTTTTGTATCCTGAACAAACTGTCATTGTAATACATCCAGCTCCAGTGGTTGTACAATTCTTATCGAAATCATTACATTATTTATGAGTGCTGATAGTGGCAGATAGATCTTCACATCTTTGATCTCTACATTAATTACCTGTCTCTGTCCAAGCACAATACTTTTTAACTGGAACATTATCAACTACTATTGTAATAACTGTGTTAACACAATTTGATCTACTTGTTCCTGTCTAAGAAGAACATGATGCCTTTATAGGTTCACATTAATTTGCCCATGTACATTCTGGTCTTAATTTACAAGAATCTTAATTGATCAAAGTATTGCAATTAACAGTAAATGTGCATCCATATCCAGTAGTAACACAAGTTGGATGATAATCAAAGCATTCTTTATCAGTTTTCAAAGTATTTGGAGCTTCTAAACAAACTCTTTTAGCACAGTTTCCTACTATTGTTCCAACAGTAGTAGCTTTGCATGGACCATTTAATGCTATATATGTTGTGCAAGAAACTTCTGTTCCTTTGAATTCCTCACATCTCTTACCATAAGCATCACAAATAGTTCCATTAAAAACACAGAAAGGATTATCAGTTGTTTTAAATGGTTTCATTCCATCACTACAATCTTTATTATTTGTTCCTTTAATATCACTACATTTCTTCTTTTAACAAGTTGAGGTTTCAGCTGCATTTTCAACATTGAAACAATAATCTAAACCATTTGATCCCATAAACTTACTACAAGTATCTCTAGATCCTTTATAAGCTGAGCAATCAGATGATTTAGAAACACATCCTGCTCCTTTTGTTACACAACCATCTAAGTAAGCCTAACATTCATCATTTGTTGTGGCATCTGTATTGTCTGTGCATTTTCTATCTTTACACTTACCATTCTCATTATTTGTAGCATCTCCAGAACATAATTAGTACACATCAACTTTTAGGTCATTATCATAATGCAAATACTATTTGAATGCTTCACATTAAGTTTTTGTGCCTCTAAATTCAGAACAAGGTCTATCCCTTGGAATACAACCTTTTCCTCTGGTTACACAACCTTTCATCCAACTTTCACAATCTCCATCAGATTGAGCAGATACATTATCGTAACAAGTTCTAATTTAACAACTACCAGATGTAACAGCAACAGTATTCAATTTACAATAATCTTTGGCTGTAATATCAAGCATATATTCACAGAATGCCTAATTTCCAGAAACAGAACCACAACTACTGGTTGTGGCATCTACACATCCCTAACCATCAGTTTTACATGATTTCAAATAGCTTTTGCAATCAAAATCTGTATAAAATCTGGCAGTTACTGCATCATTGCAAGCTCTAGCAGCACATTTAGTACCATCATATTTGCATTTGTTATCACTTGTATCAATAACTCCTTCACACCAAGATTATTTATCAGTTTCACTAGTCACTGTATCTGGGAAATCATATGATACACATGTAGTCTTTGAGATACATTTATTTAGATAGTATATACAACCAGCAACATTGTTCTTACAACCCTCCTCATTGCCATCATTATCAGCACATACTTAAGCTATGCATTTTTTGGCATCTGATGCATGTTTAATACATGGCTTACTATTTGATAATGCTTTCACTAATACGCATTGCTCTGCCTCTTTAGTATCTTCTGGTCCTAATGCTGCAGTAGTTGAACCATCATATGAAGTGCATTCTCCTAGTTCAACGCAATTATTTCCCCAAATATATGTACACTTTTTAGGAGTACCTGAAGTATCCACTAAAGAATTGCATGTAGCTCTTTTATCAGTAGCATTTGTAATAACATAATCTGTACATGCAGCTAATCTTGGAGTACAAAAGTCTCCTGAAATATAAGTACACTTAACTCCACCGGATGCCCCAGATGTTAATTAATCACAATATGCTTTCTTATCTGACCCAGATGCTGGAACTTTATCACACCCATCAGTTGTATTATAACATGTTCCTGAAATATATGTACAAGTTTTGCCTGGAGCTCCTAAATCACATGAAACTTGAGATGTTGGTTATGATATATCAAAGCAATCAAAATCTCTACAAGCATTGCCTGTCGTATATGCACATTTCTTTTCTGTAGCATCTATTTTACTAAGACAATAAGGTGATTTCTAAGTATCATCTGATGGTAGAACATTATAAGATGAGCAGACAGTAGTTGCTGCACATGCAGTTGCGGCAGGAGATAAATATTCATCATATGTACATGGTACACCCGCAGTTGATGAAACAGTTTAAGTAACAGATTGACAAAATTATGTTTTACCACTGGCGACAGTCACATCACCAGGTATATTGACACTAGTACAAACTGTTCCAGCTGGATTAAAAGTTCTACATTTTCCATTTGAAAATGCACATCCAAGTATTCTCGTATCACAATCTCCTTAACCTGATGGATTTGGAATATCCTCACATGTTGCAGCTGCACAAGCTGGACTTGTTCCAGCCTTACAGAATATCTTTTTTGTTATATCAGCTTAAGCTGCACAAAAGCCAGCTAAAGTAATAGCAGCACCATCCCATTATGCACCAGTAACAGTACTCATATTAAAAGAAGTACAATCTGTATAAGTATTAGCCTCACACGCATTTTTAGCAGCATTGAGTTGACAATAATCATTACCAATCTACATACTGTGACAAAACAATGATTTTAATGTGTCCGTATTAGCACTACCTGGAATAGTATAGCTTGCACATGTAGGAGAATTTGCAGTTAATTTAGTATAACATAATCCATTGAAAAATAAACATCCAGCTAGTTATTTATCACAATCTGCCTAACTAGAAGCAGATGGAATTTCAGTACAAGTAGCAATAGGAGAGCAAGCATCACCTGTTTTATAAATACATTTTGTAAATACACCATTTCCTGCAGCATGTTTTGCAGTATCATCAATGACATATAAACTTTAACAAAGTGCCTTCTTTACTGCATCTGACTTTGAAGAATCTAATTTATAGCTACTACAACCTGTAGCTACAGCAACAGTTGTTATACATGTTGATTCTGTTACCTTTTGGCACACACCCTTACCGGTTGGATACAAAAAGTCATTACAAATCTTTGCATCAGTTTGAGTAATGAGATTTTCACATGTAGTTTGGTTTGAACATGTAGCACCTGCACTCCATATACATTTTACATCATCTGTATTTTCATATTTCTAACATTCTGTTTTTTTATCACTATCATTAGTTGTTATACCATGAGTATATGCACAATTAGCTTAAGGAGCATAACATACAGTACCAGCTTGTTTACAAGGATTCTTATCGGTTGGATTTGCTTTTGGCACATAAGTTAAACATGTCAAAGTAGTTGTGTATGTGCTTAAAAATTGATCACAAGTTCGATCAGCACAGTTATTTCCAGTTTTATAACCACAGAATTTACCACTTGAATCTGTTATTGTAGTACAATAATTGAATTTATCTTAAGCTTATGCTGTTGTATCTGGAACAGAATATTGACTACATGTATTGTGAGCAATACAAGCTGATCCAGATTTTAAGAATCTGCATGTTGATTTATAATTCATACAATCCTATTAACTATTGGCATCTGTCTTATCACCACAAGCTCTATCTAAACATGTATTATATTTTTGACATTTTCCTGAGCTACCTGAGAAATTATTGCATGTCACATCTGTTCCAGTTTATGATGAACATGAGTATGATGATTTTTCAACACATCCTCCAGATGATTTAGCAACACAACCTAATTTGAAATTGTTACAAATTTCATCAGTTGTATTAGGATCAGTGTTATCATCACATCTTCTCACAGTACATCTAGCTGCAGTAGCAGTACCATAACAATATTTTGGATCTCTATTTTTTATAGTTAATCCTTCGCAAAATGCAGCAAGACCAAAATAATCATCACAAGTTGCATATTCAGGATCAACACAGCTTCCGTTTCCATTAAATGCACATCCTTTTAAGAATCCATCACATGAACCTTCAGTCATATCAGTTGCCATGGAACATGTCTTTTATTTGCAAGATGATTCTGCAGTTGCATTACTATCATTGTAACATTAGGCTGTCAAGTAGTTACTCAAATTTCCTGAACTGTAGCCATACAACTTATTACATGTATCTCTATCTCCTTTGAAAGCTGTACAATATGTTGTATATACAACGCATCCTCTACCATTACTTATGCACCCAGGGTTCCATGCTTCACATGTTGCATTATCTTGAGCTTCAGTATTATCTGAACACTATCTTTATTGACAGAATGCTGTTTCTAAAGCTGTTGGTGTATTTGTGCAAAATCCTGGATATCCTAAACAAGTATCTTTTGTTCCTTTCAATTTAGAACATTCTTATCTGGTTATACAAGCATCCACTCCATTACTCATACATGTGCTTAATTCAGCTGCACAATTTGCATGTGCGCTGTAGAAAGAACCTGTCAAATGAGAACATTCAAGATTTTAGCAACCATTAGAACCCCAACCACATTTTTGAGTTACATATTTAGGCTTATTATTTTCATCTAATCCATCATAAACTCTAGCTGTATTTGCCATACAAATAGCCTTTCTTTTAAATTAACTGCAAGACCAATTACTTGTACATATTGGTTACCATGTACATATTGGTTACCCTATTTAATTTTTAGTTCCTTCACAACTTTATTATTTAACCGTTAATTCACATGAAGTTGCTGCCACACAACCTGATCCAGTAGTTACACAATTAGTAAACCAATTGCTACAAAGAGGATTTGTATTTGTTGATGAGGGTGCTGAACCACAATCTCTAGGTGTACATTTAGTTCCACTCTTCCAAGTACATCTACCTTCTGATCCTACTCTTGTACTACAAGCAGCTACATTTTCTCCTGGATATTCTGAACATTTTTTCAATGCAGCTTTAGTAGAACATCCCGCTCCAGTTGTAACACATCCTTTTTAATGTTTTTCACATGCTTCATCAGTTGAAATAGTTGGTGAAGCTGAATCACAAGTTTTAGGAAAACAATTTGCATCAACTGTTGTACTATTTCCTGTACAATAACCATCAGAACCAATATATACACCACATGAAGTTGCAGTACCCTTGTATATACTACAAGCTGATAAAGCATTAACACACTTCACACCATTTGTTACACAACTGGGTTGATAATCTTTACATTAAGCATCAGTTTTGAAATTTCCATTTTCACATTTTCTTGCTCTACAATTCTTACCTCCAGCATCACCTTCACACACTCCATCTGATCCAATATATCCAACACAACTTGTAATATCACCATTATATGTTGAACATAATGGTTTTGTTGTTCCCTTATAACAACCCTTTCCAGTTGTTATACATCCTTTTTAATATCCTTTACATTCATCATCTGTTGAAATTGTATTTGGTGCGTTTTAGCATTCTCTTGCTTTACAATTGATTGTCTCTTTAGCCAATTCACATTTTCCATCGTTATCATTACCAATAAATGAATTACACTCTTCTTCAGATCCTTTGTATTCTGAACAATTTGGTAAAGGCTGAACCCAACATCCTTTTCCTCTTGTTATACATCCTGACAGCCAATTATTACACTATTCATTAGTTGTATAAGTTAAAGGTGCCTCTACACATGCATAATCTCTACAAGCACCATTATCCCATTTGCATGTGTGAATTCCTGAAACACTTGGAGTACTCTCACATTGAGTTTGATTGTAATCCTTACATTCTTATGCCTCAATGCAAGCAGTAGCATCACTCACACAACGATATGAGATTGCTTGACATTCTTAAGTACTTGTTTTAACGTAAGCCGAACAGCCTGTGAAATGAACACATTTTTAATCTACATAAGCACAACCAGGTGTCTTTGAACAATTTGTTTCTGGTTTTTCAACGAGTTCACAATATGCTTTGAATGTGCCTTATTCTGCTCCTCCTCCATCTTTCTTTTAACATTTTGCAGCTACTGTTCCATTAGCTGCAACCCATTCACAAGACACGATTTTATATTCTTCACAATCAGTTTATGATTTAAATTAGCCACATTCATTGCATTCATTTGATTTTAGAACTTGCTGTGAGCAAACAAGGGCTATCAAACACAAAAGTATATTTAATTTCATTAAGTTATTAAAATGAATTATAATTTAAAAGTCAGATTTAAATCTTTATCATATTAATTTTTTATTATTAT